GCACTTAACTACTGAACCACATCCCCCAGCCCTTTTTATATTTTATTTAGAGACAGGATCTTGCTGAATTGCTAAGTGCTTTGCTGAGTTGCTGAGGTGGGTTTTGAACTTGTGATCCTCCTGCCTCAGCCTCCCAATTTGTTTGGATTATAGGCGTGTGCCACCATGCCTGGCTCAGTGTGAGTGAGTTTTTTTTTTTTAATAAGTTTTTTTTTAAGTTTAGGTGGACACAATAACTTTATTTTATTTTTATGTGGCGCTGAGGATCAAACCCAGTGCCTCATGCATGCCAGGTGAGCACTCTACCTCTGAGCCACAACCCCAGCAGTGTTTTTTTTTTTTTAATTAAGGAAGGAATTTTTTAATACCTTTATTTTATTTATTCATTTGTATGTGGTGCTGAGGATCAAACCCAGGGCCTCACATGTGCTAGGCAAGCACTCTACCACTGAGCTATCGCCCCAGCCCCAGTGTGAGTGTTTTTAAGGAAGATTTTTTCCTTCTACTTTAGTTAATACTATAGGGACATTTGTATGAATAATGTTGAGTGATAGTAAATTTGCATTTGATTCAGTTAATGGAAAACTAACAGAAAGTAGTGTCAAGAATGTTAAATCAATATTTAAACAACTTAAAGCAGAGTTAAGATGATTCACATAGATGTCAGAAAGTAGTATCCCCATTTGAGTTGATTCTGTAATTTTCCTCAGTTGATATTCCTGGAAGTGTGTATCTGTGTATAGTTTTTACTTAGTATTCATTTCCCACAGCACTAAGAATAAAACAGGATGTGTCTCTTGTGGACTTATTTGGAAGAATTGCCTTGATGCAATGGAAGGTCAAACATGAAATAGTTTTAAGAGGCTCTAAGTGAAATAAAACCTGAATTGTTTTCAGCCTGTAAATGCCCCTTTTGATGATTACAAGGAAAGAACTTTTAACAGAATAAAATTTTGAGCTGAACGCCTAGAAAATCACACGCAGATTGAAAGTTTATTCTTTGTTATTTTTGGTGAAACTTGCTTGGAAGGAGGAAGTAAGCTGCTTCCTGAAATTGAATGAGCTCTCAGAATTGGTGCAGGCCACTGGAGACTAGCATGGCAGCATGTGATTTATTATTTAGTATAATTGAATAGTTAGAATGGGAATGTTTGTATTTCTTGCCCACTATAATGAAACAAAAGTTCCTCAAGTTATTTGGTTATGGTAAGTATGTGAATGTGTCGAAAGTCAACAGGAGTACATCTAGATTAGTTGTCCTTTCAGAGTCACTAGGGTTGCTGAGCAGGTAGATTCTGGGTGCTGAGAGCCTCATTAGGCTTGGGAGGGTACCTTTGGAAAGTTTCAGGGTGAACCTGGGATGATGCCTCTAGAGCTGATTGACTGTTAACAGGCAATTTCTGAGTTGCAGACATTATAAAAGATCTCTGATACTGCAGAGGAAACTGAAGCTTGGAATGTGAGACTTGTGCTCATTCATGGTGGTAGATGAAGCAATTTCCTGACTTGTGAGCTGCACCATCTTGTCACACCCACTCATCCATTATTCTGTGCACACACGTGGCATGCACATGTGCTTCTTTTGGCTGTACTGCCAAATTTCTAGTTGAGTCTGTACTCCCTGAACCCTGAGTTATATAATCTGGCAGCCTGGGCACTTTTTGCTGCCTTTAGTAGCTTGAATTTTTATACATGTTAATTCCGCTAAGTTATTTCACCTTGAGCAATTGTGTATATTAGTGTCTTTTAACTCTTATTTTCTTTTTTGGCTCTCTTCAATCTCTCATTGACTATTATCTTTTTTGTTCCCTTCATCTTTTCTGTCCTTTTCTTTTTCTTACTATTCCTCCTCTCTGTACTGGGGATTGAACCCAGGGCCTCCAGATGCTGAGCAAACCTTCTGCTACTGAGCTGTATCTCCCGCTCCTCATCCCTCTTATTAACCATTTCTCTTTTCTCTCTTCCACTGTCTATCCCTGTTATTTCTACTTAAGAGCCAAGAAACTACTTAATACCTGATAGGCATAACAGTAGGCAATGTATCTCAGCAAGATACAGCGAGGGAAAGACCAAAAGTGAACATTTATTGAACACCTACTATGTCCTGTTTTAAGGTATAAGATAATTTTTTCTAAAGGAGTTTATATCTCATTGAATTTAATCAGAAGAACTCTTGATATTTTTGATCTTCTGATATTTTGTAAATGTATATTTCTTTGCACATATGTATTTCTTTCTTTTTCTATTAAAATATATTGTTTTATGAAGAACATTATAACCAAGTTAATGGAGTGCAAAGGATAAGGAAAAAATTAAATCATAATTTTGTTTGTAGCAAATAAAATTTACTTTCTCCGTTTTTGACAAATATTCTACTCAGTGAAGAAGGGAAACAACATTGGAGTACCTACTATATGCCAGGCATTTTGAAAATTGCTCTGTATTTTTCTCCTTTTATCCCATAGTAGTTCCATATGATTCATATTGTTATGCTCATTTCATAGTTGAAAAATTTGAGGCTTATCTTATTTTAGTTTAGCTGTTATTAGTTTAGATGTGCTGTGTTCTAGGTACTGTGCTGAAAACTGGGAATGCAAATCAGGYGAGTGGGACATCTTGCCTTCTACAAGGAATTAAAAAAATGATAGAAAAGCAAATGAGTGAAAACATTTCAGTACAGTATGTTACGTACAGTAACCTAGAAGAGGATTGCTGGACCTGTATTAGGGTTGGTCAGAACAGGTTTGCTAGGACAGTGCTTTTCAAACTTTACTATGCAGGTGTGGATACCTGGGTTACTTGTTAAAATGTAGATTCTGATTTGGAATCTTTGGTGGGACCTGAGAATCTTCATTTTGAGCAGGCTCCTGAGTGATGCCAAAGCACAGACCTTACTTTGAGCATGAATATCCTGGAGGTGGATATAGAACTTTAACAAAACTTTAACAAAGGTAGAAAAATGGAAAATATGTTCTAGGCAGGAGACAAGGCATAGAAGCATAGAAACAGCATGTTAAATGGGTACCCAAGTTAAAATCCATGCAGGTGTTGACACTCTACTGCTTGCTGGCCAAACTCAGCTCATAGCCTATTTTTGTAAAGTCCCATGCATTTACTTTTTTGTATTTCTAAAGGGCTAAAAGTAAAAACAGAGAAGAACATGTGATAGAGATGAATAAATATTTATCATTCAGCCCTTTAAAGTTTGTAACTTGTGATCTGTGATAGAGGTGGTGAATTGGGACTTAAGGGAAGGCATGCTAGAGAAATTAGGCTGGAGGATGATTATCCAGGGATGGAAAGCATGGCCTTTATCTTTGAGATGATAGGGAGCCAAGGAAGATTTAGAGAGGAGAGTGACAGCCTCAAGTTTTTGTTTTTAAAAAATCCCTTTGGCAGAATATAGACTGAAAAGGGGCCACATTGGAGGCAGGGAAGACAAATAGGAGGCCCAAAGCAAGGCAAATGGTAGAAATATTTTTACAAAATTTTTCATTTTCTTTTGATTTCAACCCATAAGAAGAGAAACATTTTATTTATTTTTTTAATATTTATTTTTTAGTTGTAGTTGGACACAATACCTTTATTTCACTTATTTATTTTTATGTGGTGCTGAGGATCGAACTCAGGTCTCACACGTGCAAGGCGATTACTCTACTGCTAAGCCACAACCCCAGCCCAAGAGAAACATTTTATATTATGACCAGCATAAATAGAATAAAACTTATTACAAATCAGCATTTGTCTTAATTGTGGTTGAACACAAGTATTTTTCAAAAATTGCTGGTTATTGCCCACCCATTGAATTGATTTCATAGTGGACCATAACCCACAGTTTGAAAACACTGATCTAGGAAAGTAATATCAGCAAGATTTGTCACTAGTTTGATGTAAAGGGTGAGGAACAAGAATCCTGTTATGGATAAACATGTGAATGCTGTTGCTCCCAACTGAAATCAAGAATAAAGGGGAAACAATTTGAAAAGAGGTGATTTATTCCTTTTTGAACATGCTGAGTTTTGAGAGCTCTGTAGGATTCCCAGGCTTTCCAGAAGAAAAGAGATACCAAAGTCTCATTTAGTATTACTGCCTCATTGTTTGTTTAGCTGCTATTATTTCAATAGTAGTTTTTTCTACATATAGGTGTGATTCAGGATTTAGTAAGCTGCTTTGGCTCAGGCTGGTAATTCAGCCATTATTCCCAGTATTCTAATGGAAAGAGGAAGCGTGAATCAAATAACTGGTTTACACAGAAAATATGTAAATGGGGAGTTAACTTTTGTATTCTACTTTGAGATGTTTATTTAATTTAGCTCTTGTATGTTAGTTTAATAAGATTATTGTTCTGGGGTTGGGGTTGTGGCTCAGTGATAGAGTGCTTGCCTAGCATGTGTGAGGAGCTGGGTTGATTCTCAGCACTGCACATAAATGAATGAGTAAAATAAAGGTCCATCAACATCTAAAAAAAAAAAAAAGGTATTATGTCCAACTACAATTAAAAAAGATTATTGTTCTGACATTGAAATAGCCAACAGAGAGTAATCGGATCACAATAATAAATTTGTGKGTGGTTTTGTATTTGTAGTTTACTTTAGTTCTGTATATAAATACACTATTAGAGGGTCATCAACTTTTTTTTGGGGGGGGGGCTGAGTACTGGGGATTAAATTCAAGGGCATTCAATCACCGAGCCACATCCCCAGCCCTCTTTTGAAATTTTTTTAGAGACAGGGTCTCACTGAGTTGCTTAGTGCCTTGCTTTTGCTGAGGCTGGCTTTGAACTTGTGATCTTCCTGCCTCAGCCTCCTGGTTATCAACTTTTGATTCTTTTGCTTACTCTAGGCTAAGAAAGAACCATTGGCATTTTATCCATATCCCTTTCCCTGACAATAGTTTCTTTAAAGAAATATACTTTTGGAACTCCAAATAATATTTTCTAAGTTGACCATTAGTAAGTAGGAAATAATTTAAAAATTTTTTTTAAAAATTTTTTTACACAGATTGAATACCTGCTTAAGAAACTTACAGAAGCTATGGGAGGAGGCTGGCAACAAGAACAATTTGAACATTATAAAATCAATTTTGATGACAGTAAAGATGGCCTTTCTGCGTGGGAACTTATTGAGCTTATTGGAAATGGACAGTTTAGTAAAGGCATGGATCGGCAGACGATATCTATGGCAATTAATGAAGTGTTTAATGAGCTTATATTAGATGTGTTAAAACAGGTAAGGATCCTATAACTATGTATTTTTCCTCATCTTTAGAATTTGACATGTTTAAAATAAAGTAGTAATTTTTTTTCTTTAAAGTGATATGAGTCACATACTCTTTTTTAAAAATTTTGTGKTGCTAAGGATTGAACCCAGGGCTGCTCTACCACTAAAGTACATCCCCAGCCTTTTTTTTAAAAAAAAAATATATATATATTTTGAGGCAGGGTCTTGCAGTGTTGCCAGGCTAGCCTCAAACTTGTGATCCTTTTGCTGCAGTCTTCTGAGTAGCAGGGATTATAGGTATATATTATTGTGCCTGGCCAGTTATACATTAAACTTTAGATTTAGAACAAGAATAATGCAAAAAAAGCAATAAAAATAAATTTAAAATAAATAAATGCTAAAGATTCTTTAAAAAAAAGAATAATACTCTTATTTTTCTAGTTTTTTATTAGGCTTTCATTTTTTTCCCCCAGTGCTGGTGATCAAACTCAGTGTCCCCTGCATTCTATGTAAACTCTGTTCTACCAAGTTACACTCCTAGCCCTAGGCTCTCATTTTAAAAGAATTACTGGTACAGTTTTGAAATATGGTTAAGAATTGAGATGCTACTATTTTAAAGGAACTTTTTAAATAATTACGTTTCCCATATTATGTGCATATTCATACCCATTCATCTGGAAAGATATTCATAGCATATTGTTCAATGAAAAAGCAACAATCTGCAGAACATGGGTACCTTGTGATCTCTTTCATGCAGCATGTGATATATGTGTGTGGAGTAGTCTGAAAGGATATTCACCAAAACATTCATAGTGATTGCCTCCAGAAAGTGTGATTTTTTTTTTTTTAAATTTTTGGAATCATGTTTTCCTTTTTATTCATTTTCTGTATTATTGGACTTTCTACATGATTTTATATTATTTTTTAAAATTAGAAAAATATTCTTACTTTTAGAAAATGATACTTTCATATAATAGAGTTCATTTTTTCTTATTTTACTCTGTTTTCTCCAAACCTAGTCTAATATCTGATATATACATGGGAAGCTTAATGCTTGATACATAGAATTTGTATATATTTTTAGTGGATCTTTCAAACTTATTACATTTTTATATGAAGCAATAACTGATTGTTTATTTACTTGTTTTGCTCCTTTATTTGTTCAGTAGGTGATATTTGTTCAGTTGGTGATATTGTTGTCTTTGCCCCCCCCCCCAATGGAGTGTATCAGTAAACATCAATTAATGCTTAACTTGTGTAGGTTTTGGTGCTACAAAGAGGTATGAGACATGGTCTCTAAAGATTTAACGGCCCATTAAGATGGCAGGATATAGGACTACTAATGAATTGTACTATAAGATATCTTTTGCTTAAATGTCCAAAGATTAAGAAACCGAACGAGTTATATGATTAGAATTTAGTATAATGATTAAATGAACTTTGCAGCCAAGTTAATATCATACATTTGATGGTATAGTCTATTGTAGCCTATCAGCATCTGTAGATTTAATATTAAAAATTTCATTGATTTTTTTTTTTTGTACAACTCTAAGAGGCTTTAGTCTATAATAATATGTGATTTGTTAAAGTAAAAATTTGAATTATATACCTTTGGGGCTAATATATGGAAAAGGAAGTACAGAGCTTAGAGTGTGAGCTTAGAAGGTAGTATCCTAACTCCTGGTCCAGTTATTTTCTGCTTTTCCAGAGCAGAGTTCCTCTTCCTGTGTAGTGAGAGGTTAGGTGCAAAGAGAGGTTGCTACTAGAGGGTGAAATCCTCTAGTATTGATTGAAAGGATAGACTTGTCTCTGATACTCTGACATTTTCATTGATTGAAAATTTATGAAGAATTATTGTTAGAGGGTCTTTTTTATTTTATTTTTTTTAATGAAATAGAATAGTATAATGAACTTCTGTATACCTATCACCCAACCCCAACAACACATGGATAATCCTACTCTATCTACTTTGTGCCTCTTCTGTGTTTTTCTTGAAGCAAATTCCAGACATTTCATTTTTTCTATAAATATTTCAATATATATCTCAAGAGGCCTGGAATTTTAAAAACTCACAATGTTTTAACATCAAGAGTTCTAAATCTGATACCTGTATCACTTTGTGGGGGTTGTCTCTAAAATGTTTGAAATTGTATGCAAACTTTTATCTGCATGTTCTTGCATGAATTTGGGTGTAATGCTCCTGGCCTTCATAGATTCTCAAAGGGCAAGAATCATTGACATTTATGTATTAGGATCATTGATCAGACAGTGGAGTAGACGAGTCTGCTAAGAAAGAAATATCAGCTTTTACACATAAAAAAACAAGCATTGGGCTGGGGATATAGCTCAGTTGGTAGAGTGCTTGCCTCCCATGCACAAGGCTCTGTTTGTTTTTGTGGTGCTGGGTTCAATCCCCAGCACCACAAAAACAAACTACCACCACTAATAAAAACAAAAAACCCCACAAGCATTAGCATTTACATCAGATTTAATCTTTCTTAGGGTTACATGATGAAAAAAGGCCATAGACGGAAAAACTGGACTGAACGCTGGTTTGTACTAAAACCCAACATAATTTCTTATTATGTAAGTGAGGATCTGAAAGATAAGAAAGGAGACATTCTCTTGGATGAAAACTGCTGTGTAGAGGTAAGTCTACTGTGCAGGATTACCTGGTGCTGCCCCCTGCTGTCAAAGGAGTTTCCTCTCCATCCCCCTTTTAGTCTCTAGAGCCTGAAATAATCATAAATTCACATTTCCAAAATAATATAGGCATACAGTCACCATAGTTTCTGAACCAAAAATTAAAGATAGCTGACAAGATTTTTCTGATATGAATGTTTTGTACAAAGTATATAGAGATTCAACCTTTGTACATTTAAGGAATCATTTATTAAATAAAATGAAGTTATAAAAAAGAAAAGAAAAAAGCAAGGCAGTGTTTGAAATCAGGAATAAACTGAAAGATCTGGGGACATTTTGAAAGTATTAAGTAAAACAAGATTAAGCATTGTATTTGAAAAATTTGACTTTCAGGACACTTCATTCATAGCTACTAAATTCTGTTAAGAAGTGAAATCCTAGCTAGGTACGGTGGCACACACCTATAATTCCAGTGACTCAGGAGCCTGAGGAGCATGAGTTCAAAGCCAGTCTCAGCAACTCAGAGAGGCTCTAGGCAACTTAATGAGACCCTGTCTTAAAATTTTTAAATGTAAAAAAAGGGCTAGGGATGTGACTCAGTGATTAAGTGCCCCTGGGTTCTATCCCTGGTACCCACCCTCCCTAAAGATGAAATTCTCAAGAACATAAATTTTGAGTTTTTAACTTGTAGTATGTTTATATTTGTTGAAGAACATGTAGAATAACTGAGCTCTCACTCATAGAGCATTTTGATGAAAGAAATGGTACAGATATATTATACCATTATACTTACCATATAGGACTGCAGTGCCCACAAAGGGGGCTGTTTAGATTTAACTGAAGAGAGATCACAAGATTGCTGTGTCTTTGTCATTCTGCTCATAAGAATATAGGGAAGAAACCACAGATTGCCAGCAACAACATCCTGGGAGCTAGGAGAGGAAACCACAGTAGATGGAGGGTAGGATAGGACTCATCCTGACACGGAAGCCTTTTATGTCATAGGAATCAGTACTTCTTATAATGATCCCATGTGTGTACCTTATAGGATTCCTACAGGGTGGAATATGCTTGGGTGCAGGAGTTGCTATGCTTCTAAATAAAGCATGGCAACCCCACATYCCCATAAGGTGTTTGTATTTCTCCAGGCAGACGTGGTATACCAGTTAGGGTTATTGTTACCATAAGAATTGCAACCTAGGGGAATAGCATTAGTAAATCAGTAATTTGCATTTGTAGGTGTTTTCCACAGACACTGAGCTTCAGTCAGATTTGTGTAAATAAGTTTTAAATACTTTTTTTAATATTTTTATTTTTTAGAAGTAGTTGGACACCAATACCTTTATTTTGTTTATTTAATTTTATGTGATGCTGAGGATCAAACCCAAGGCCTTACACGTGCTAGACAAGCGCTCTATCACTGAGCCACAATCCCAGCCCTTAAATACTTAATAACATTTTAGGGTTAGGGTTGTGGCTCATTTGTAGAGTGCTTGCCTGGCACGCATGAGGCACTACTGGGTTTCATCCTCAGTACCACATAAAAATAAAACAAAGGTATTGTGTCCACCTACAACTAAAATTATATATTTTTTAAAAAGTAAAATTTTAAAGAACTTATAACACTTTCTGTTTTAGTCTCTGCCTGACAAAGATGGAAAGAAATGCCTCTTTCTAATAAAATGTTTTGATAAGACCTTTGAAATCAGTGCTTCAGATAAGAAAAAGAAACAAGAGTGGATTCAGGGTAAGGCAATTTTTATTACATGCCATGATAAAGATGATTAAGAAATATTTTTTAATCTCATGAAAGATGCTAAAATATTGTTTCCTTATTGTTTATAGTTATATCTACTTGTGACATAGTAACCAAAAGGAGAACAACTTAAGATGAATTCTCAATTTTTCATTAATTAATTTGCATAATGAACTTGGGAGGAAATTGTAAATAGGAAATTTGAGGTTTTATTTACTGCTTAAAGCCCATGGAGTTTCCCCTTTTAGGACTATGAAGAATGTTAAAATGACTGTCTTGTTATGTTTTTGGTCATATGTAAAACAAAAGTGGAATTAATGCAGTAGTTTTTAAATACTTCAAGTGATTTTCAAGTCAATTATTAATTTCCAAAAGAATAATAAACATAAACTTTGGAATTAATTCAAGTTAGTAAAGAATTATATGTGAGATTTTATTTTAAACTGAAAGGGGATTCCAAATAGTCTTGAACATAAATGAAATTATACTGCATTGGAATCTTGAGTCTACTTTCCTGGGTCACGTAACTTGAATGATTAATTCTGTAGCTGCTTTCTTCTTCTTTGGAATGGAGAGAATAATAGTGCCTACTTCTCAGAGTTTTTGTGAGGATTAGAAGTTAGATGACAGATATACTTTGCACATTTTCAAAATGACATTCTTACAGAAGTTTTTGTGATAGATTGCAAACAATCCTATTGTCTATTAATTGGGAAATGGTTGAACAAATTATGATAGCATTACACAGTGGAGCACTTTTGCAGTACTCATTGTTTAGTACTTCATGTACACTTTTGCGTGTGCAGTACTGGGAATTGAGCTGAGGGCCTTGAGTGTGCCAGGCAAGTGCTCCACTTGTATGCCCCACTGTTATGGATATTTGAGATAACTTATAAAAATAAGTAAAGTGAAAACACTGAGGCTCAAAGGACATGTTGTGTCACCATTTGTTTCAAAAGAAAGTAGAAGAGTTTATACATGTTCATTTGCTTAAAATACCCCAGGAAAAATACATAAGAAACTGTTAGCATTTGTTGCTAATCAGGCAGGAAATCCAGTACCTGGGGCATAGGAATAAGTGGAAGACTTCCAAAATGTCTTTTAATGCTTTTTGATTTTGAGCAATGTATATTAGTCAAGAAATAAAATTTAAGTAATTAAAAATTCCAGGAAAGAAATCAGGTTTATATGAAAATTAGATAATTTATGTAAAAGAAATGCATATTGAATATATATGCATGATATCCTTTGCATTCATTATATAATTTTTTTTCCTGTGCTGGGTATCACACTTACGACTCATGCATGCTAAGCAAGCCCTCTACCACTGAGCCACTTCCCCACTCCTAAATTTTCAATAAATGTCAGCTAATGTAATGTGATCTGTTATCTCAGGGAGATGGTTTTATAAGGCACAGATGAGGGACAGACTAAATACAGTTGGCTGCAGATCTGACATCAGGAACTTTGACTCCCTGCCCTTACTGTGCCTTAATCTTATTTAACTTTTAGTGAAGTAGAGAGAAGGGAGTTGAAAGTGTTGTTAGAAGTTCTTAAAATATGTGCAGTATAGGTGTATCATCATGCATTTTTGGAGTTAAAAGAGACTTAAAAGATCATCTCTTATTTTATGATCTCATTTTGGAGATGAGGAAGCCCATGCTTCAAGAGACTGGATGTTTGCTCATGGTCATAACATGGCTTACTGGCAAAATTAGAATCCACGCTGGGTCTTCTGTCCTCTGGTTTTCTTCCTGCTGTGTCACTTGTATGGTAGACATGTAAAGAATAAAGTGTATTTCCCATTTTTCTCCACTACCTTTTGCAGCCATTCATTCTACTATCCACTTGTTGAAGCTGGGCAGCCCTCCACCACACAAAGAAGCCCGTCAGCGTCGGAAAGAAATGCGAAAGAAGCTATTGGCTGAGCAAGAGGAGCTGGAGCGGCAGATGAAGGAGCTCCAGGCCGCCAATGAAAGCAAGCAGGAGGAGCTGGAGACTGTGAGGAAGGTGTGTGTGGGCTCAGGGCTGGAGGAGCACTCTTCATTTCAATGCGAAGCCACAGCCACCTTACTTACTTTGGTTCCACCAACAGTAGGCTAATACAGTTTTCAGGTGAGGTTTGGTGAACTGTGTTCTCAAGTGTATCCAGATCACTTGTGAGGCTCTCTGGTTTTCCCAGCCTTAATAGCATGAAGGTCTCAGGTCAGCAAAAACAACTCATTGACAAAGAAGATATATTTATTTAAAAAATGAGTAAATTTTAATTTTGTCAAAGAAAGATGTGAAATTTCATCCTTTTGGGAACATGAAGGCTATTTTGAGGTGACCACTGCAGGACCCCTCCCCCCAGCTCCCGTGCACATTTATGAGTGTCTCCAAAGACTCTTAAAGTAGATTGAGGTTTTTATACTATTTGATGTCAGAGTTATAGTCTAGTCAGTCAGCTTCTCCTTCCATCAAGGCTAGGTTGTCAAGTATTATAGAATGTATGGGATAGTTGGCACTCACAGGGTGACATTGTTCCCTTATAGGAGTGGCAGTGAGTCCCCCTTGTGTGGGCATGGTCTTTATTTGGGACATTTCAGGACTGAGCCTATTTAACCATAAGCTTATAGACACCCCACCGCCTGCCTGCAATAACTTTACACTAGATATAGGGGTGACTTGTGGTTTGAGGCCTCACATTCCTCATGGGCTTCTCATGGGAAATGCCACACTGTACACTGAACCAAATAGACCCATAAGTATTTTCTAAAAATACATTTATAATCTTAGGTACTATGTGATCATACATCTTAGAAACAGCCATTACTAGGCAGCCCAGATACTTTACAAAAGCAGCTCCCTTGATTGCTCTTCTCCCCAAATCACTCTTATATCTTGCCTCTTTCTGCTACAAAACATTTTCCGTATCAAGTTCATTGAGAGGCTAGGCTGAGCACCTGCAATATAGACCCACTCTTTCCTCCCTTCTGTGCACACATTAGAAATGAATGTTATGAGGGTAGAGATGAGGTGGGAAGCTGGGGTGTGGTTCCCTTGTACTTTGTTAAATTTATGAAATAGGCCATACCTGAAGAGGAAAGCATAAAATATGTATTGTAAGTTATCATACAATTAATACCAATGAAACTACTACCAAGGTTAAGACAGAATATGGCCAGTATTTTTTATTATTTTTAGATTTAAGTGACAGAAGAGTATATTTTGACATATTATACATACATGGAGTATAATTTATTCTAATTAGGATTTGCCAATATTTTGAAGCTTCCCCCCGCTTTTTAATTTTTAAAAATTTACAGTTAAGATTAACAGTTTATTAACAGTTTGTATATTGATTTTTTGATTTTTAACATATGCTTGGATTCTTGAAACAGCCACGGACAGAATATAGAACAATTAATACCCCCAGAGAATTCCCTTGTGCTTCTCTTTTGTATTTAGACCTTGTCTTCACCTTTAAATACTGGAAATTACTTATCTGTTTTTAAAAAAAAGTACATATTAACCTCAGTGTTCTGCATTTAGTTTCATTGAATGTATTTTTGAGATCTCTCTAAATCAGTGTTAGGAGAGCTTCCTTATTCTTCTTTTTGACAGCCTGACATTCTGTCATATAGCTGTTTAATATTCCATTGCATGGCTGTGTCATTACTTATTTAATTGATTCCCCCATTGAGGAACATTTGGGTTGTTTTTACTCTTTTAATAGACAGTGCTGTAGGGCATTATCTTGAACCTGTGCCATTTTGTATATGTTCATACATGTTCGGGTATCTCTGTAAAATAATTCTCAGAAGTAGAATTTCTGGGCCAGAAGTGTGAAATCCAGGCTGAGGGAACATCTGCCATCCTAAATGCTGCTGTTACTCCACAAGGTGAAAAGTATTCTAGGGCTTGGCAGTTAAGGGCTCCTACCTAGAGATGTCACATATCACTCCTATTTACAATATTTTAATCAGAACTAGTCACATATTTCTAATGAAAAGTCAGCTGTCAGGTTTACTGGGGTTCCTTGTGTGTGGGGAATAATTTTTCTTCTGCTGCTTTCAAGATTTTCTTTTCTGTCGTTGTCTTATAACAGTTTATTGTGATGTTTGTGGCTGTGGATCTCTTTGTATTTATCCTATTGAGTTTGCTGAACTTCTCAGGTTTGTAGGCTAATGTTGTCCCATCAAATTTGAGAAATTTTTAGTTATTTCTTCAAATTTTTTTTTCTTGGGCTGGGATTATAGCTCAGCGTGATAGAGTGCTCGCCTTGCATGTGTGAGACCCTGGGTTCGATCCTCAGCATCACATAAAAAAAATAAATAAATGAAATAAAGGTATTGTGTCCAACTACAACTAAAAATAAATATTTAAAAAAAATTTTTTTTCTACTCCTTTCTCCTCTTTCTGCTATTCTTACTATACAGATGTTGGTGTTCATGATGATGCCCCACATTTCTCTAAGACTCTGTTCAGTTTTCTTCATTTTTTTTTCTGTTCTAATTGCATAATTTATATAGATTTATTTTTCAGGGAGTCTTCTTGTAGCCCAAATATACTATTGAGTTTCTAGTGAATTTTTCATTTCAGTTATTGTACTTTTCAATTCCACAATCTCTTTTTGGTTCTTTTTATAATTTCTTTCTTCTTATTGATATTGTCTGTGGGATGGGATATCATCATTCCTTCCATTACTCCTTTAAGTGTAGTTTCCTTTATTTCTTTGAACATATTTATAACTGCTTTGAAGTCTTCTGGCAGATATTCATCCAGGCCTCTTCAAAGGCAGTTTCTAGTTCCTGTTTTCTTTCTCTTTTTGTTGTTGTTATTGTTTTTTCCCATGTATGGGTTACGGTTTCCTGTTTCTTTTTCATGTTTTATAATTTTTTATAGAAAACTGGACACTTTATAAAACCATACCAACTCTGGATTTTGATTCTAACACTCTCTGTCTTAGGGGTCATTTATTTGTTTAGTGACTTGGCTGGACTGTTTCCTGAACTGTTTTCTGACAGTGTGTTGCCTCTGTGCTTCTCAGAGGCAAGCCTTGGGCATGCACATAGTCACCTTGAGATGACCCCGATTTTAGCAGGGCTCTCTTCAGATGTTTCTTTTTCTACTCTCTCTGTTAAGCCATCCACCTCTGTTGGTATCACACCAAACTGTTAGGTCTCAGTATTTCTGGTTGACTGTTCTATGTTTTTCACAATACCTTAGAGCCTAAATTGCCCCTTGGTCTGAATATTATTTAAATTCAGGTCTATATGTAGTCAAGACTAGTCCTTAAGATTTGTTCTTGCCATGTGAGGGGTCTGCCTAAGCTGTCTCTTCCCCTGGTTTTCTCTGTCAGGCTTTTGACTGGTCTGTAGTTTAGTTTGTTGCTCTCATGGAGCCACCAGCCTCCTCCTAATTCCTTACCATCAAACTCTCTGTTGTTATCAAGTGTCCTTAGGCTTATTCTTCTTCACAATTTCAAATAAAGTCACTTCCAAACCTGTCTTTCTCCCTGGACAAAACTTCTGTGCAGCATTCTGGAATTTGTGGAGATAACAGTATACTCTGCTTGGAATAGCATTCCTGCTTTATGAGCCTGTCAATTGATGGGGGAAGGTGGCCTTTGGTCTTTGTTGCTTGCCTCATCCTTTGTGAAGCTTCTGCCCCATAAATGAGTTGGGACAAGGGTAATCAGATCTAGTCCTCTCAACCTGCCCACCCTGTGAGTGGGGGCTGGGGGAAAGAGAGCTCCAGATCTCTTAGCCATGCTTGCCTGGAATAGAGTTTCTGCAGCATAGAGCTGGGGAAAGTGAGGAATACTGGCTTCTATCCCTCCTAGGGAGTTGGTGYAGCCCTGGGCTGTGAATTGAGAGGAGAGGAGCCTTCAATCTTAGTTTCATCTACCAGAAGTGGATTGGGCAGATGGAATGTGTTGTGTCCCAAAAGCTATAGACTCACTGTTCTTAGCTGAGATTTAGTAGATTTTCTTTTTTTGTTTTTTGTTTTGTGGTTCTGGGGTTCAAGCCCAGGGCCTTGTACATGCTAGTAAGTGCTCTACCACTGAGCTGCATTCTCAGCCCTTAGTAGATTTTCTTAGATAAATGTTCTCCATTTCTTTGTGTTTAGGATAATTTCCAGAGACTTTTAAGTGGTTGTTTCCCCATTTTTTTAATAAGTAATTTTTATCATCTATTGTTCCACTGGGGAAATGATCCATGGAGCTCCTCAGGCCCCTCTTCTGGCAGTTGAGCTCTGGTAAAAGTTTTAAGGAATAATGTGCAAGATAAAGAACCGGAAGATTAGGGACTTGCCTCACACATGTGAGACACTGGTTTCAATCCTCAGCACCACATAAAAATAAATAAAATAAATAAAGATTAAAAAAAAACTGCAAGATTAGATCTCAAACCTGGTGAAAAGAATTGCAAATGAAAATAATTCAATGGCTGTACTACAACTTCCTCTGCAAAATATTATTCAGACATACCAGTGTTCATTCATGTCATTTATCAAATTTGTTTTGCATGTTAAAATTTGTTGCAAATTGCTGGGATGGAATTCCAATGGGTCTAACAGTTTTTATTCTTTTTTTTTTTGGTATGAGGATTGAACTCATGGGCACTCAACCACTGAGCCACATCCGCAGCCCTTTTTTGTATTTTAAGACAGAGTCTTACTGAGTTGCTTAATAGCCTTGCTAAATTGCTGAGGCTGGCTTTGAACTCTAGATCCTCCTGCCTCAACCTCCCTAGCTGCTGGGGTTAGAGGCATGTGCCACCGAGCCTGGCTTTATTCTATTTTTATTGAATGTTTGGCTTTACTCATAAGCTTGGCTTTTTCTCTCAAATGTTCCACTGTAACAAATCTGCTTTTCTGGGGATGGGTTTTTAATTGGGTAGAAACTGGAGGAAGCAGCATCTCGTGCAGCAGAAGAGGAAAAGAAACGCCTGCAAACTCAAGTGGAGCTACAAGCCAGGTTCAGCACAGAGCTGGAGCGTGAGAAGCTGGTGAGGATCCCATGGCTAGGGAGAGCTATGGCCTGAGTTCACTGGGCCACCCTGATGAGGGGAAAGGGAGGCCTGGGAGGCTGGAGAAAAGCCATCTTCTGCTACTGACATGCAGTGATTACTGGGGAAATTATGTGTTCGTTCATTCCTTAGTCCTTTATTGAGCACCTCCTGTGTTCCAAGCACTGTGCCAAAGATATAAAGGTGAAAAATATGAATATTGTTTTAAAGACCTGCTAAGCAGATATTTATGGGATGGAATATTGAATACTTGTGACTGTATGTCCTGATTTTTTTCCTGGGACTATCTTTGTCCTCTTGGTAAAATTATTATTAATATCTATTTTCATTCTCAGAAGTTATTTGGAAAATAAATAACTTTGAAAAAGTGAGCATAGATTTCATCACATTTCTCCTCTATAATGAACTATGAGGAGGGATCTTAAGTTGCAAGAACATCTGCATTTTGGTTTGCTACTCCTGGCAGCTCTGATTCATCCTAGAGGCCCCAAAGGTCCGAGTGGCTCCAGGACATCATCAGCTGGTTAATAGGTCTTGTTCTGTTGAGCCATGCTATGTGGGAAAGTGCGGAGCCCTATGCCTTTATGTGCTCATGACATTTCCTGTCGTCATTTAAAGCGCTTGTTTGTGTTGTGAGAGGAAAGCACAGGGGGAAGACGTGTAGTTGGGAGGTAATCATGCACTCACAGTGTGGAGGCCTAGCCTTTCTTCCTTTCTGTTCCTTCTCACTGAGTTGTAGTTTTCTCTTAAATGTAGTGGTTATCATATGGTCTTTCCTGGCTCTTTTCACTAGCTATTGCTAGTGAAAATATTTTATAAGCTGAAAAAACATCTGCTAACATTTATGATATTATATTTAGGATAATCTTTAAGGCAGAGATCAAAACTCTTACCCAGAAGTGGGGAAACCACACACTTTTTAAGGTACTGACTTAACTACTGGAGTTCTTCCCTGGCTAGAGGTGTCCTAGGGAGGGGAGAAGAGGGGTGACAGCAGGCAAATGCAGAAGGAGTCTCCTGCAGACCAAGTTTCCCTTCTCCATTTGTTTTCACGTGCAGGTTGCTCTGAATGGGCAAAAGTTCATTCATTCCTTTTAGTGAAGACTGTTGTTATAGAAATTGTGGCTGTCAGAAAGGAATTTAAAGAGAAATTATATAAGGAAACGGTTTTTTTTTTTTTTTTTGACTTGACTCAAAAGGTGGAGTACAGCCTGGCATGGTGGCATACGCCTATAGTCTAAGCGGCTTGGGAGGCTAAGGTAGGAGGATGGTAAGTTCAAAGCCAGCCTCAGCCACTTAGCAAGACCCTAAATAATTCGGTGAGACCCTGTCTCTAAATAAAATGTAAAAGGGGCTGGAGATGTGGCTCAGTGGATAAGCGCCCCTGAGTAAAAAAATGTGGAGTGGAAAGTATGAAAAATATACCAAAGCAGGAACACAGCATTTGGGTTGGAGTCTTTTACAGCTGGAATTGGATGTTGTGCTCTCATTTTTTTCATATTTAATTCAAGAACTGAAGGCAGGGGCTACCACACTGTTGACCTGTGGGCAGCTCCCAGGATAGAGGTGGGGTGGGAGACTTTCCCCAAAGTTGAAGTCAGCCTGCATTTCAGTATGACCATGACCCTTTTATACCTTCAGATCAGACAGCAGATGGAAGAACAGGTTGCCCAAAAGTCCTCTGAACTGGAACAGTATCTACAGCGAGTACGGGAGCTGGAAGACATGTACCTAAAGCTGCAGGAGGCTCTTGAGGATGAGAGGCAGGCCCGGCAAGATGAAGAGATGGTGCGGAAACTTCAGGCCAGGTGCCAGATCAGTTTGCAGACTTTGCCTTTACATGTTTGGCTTGGACTGATGGTTTCTTGGGTCAGCTAATACTGGTGGAAGGGGAGGAGGCTCTCACTCTGGCAGTGACAGAGCTTATGTATTGTCCAGGCTGGATAGACTCTGGAGATTTGGCCTGCTAGTGTGTTTCTCTTCATCCTAGGGCACTGAAACCCTTGCTTAGGAAGCTAAAGAAGGACCTTATCTGTTTTAGAGCAGTCTGTGGGTATGTTTGATGGAGTCCTGTTAATCATACTCTAGAATATCCATGAGCCCAGATCAGCTTGGTGAGAAGTTGACTTTTTCGTGTTGCAGACAAGAGACAGCCCTTAATATAGGGACAGGGCTGGGCTTAGGCCAGAGTTGCAGCTACAGTGTAGAGTACACGTGCAGTTTCCATTTGGTCATTCAGAATAGTACTGTAGTAAGTACTACTTGAAATAGCAAAGTGGTTTTAATAGCAAAATGATTTTAAATGTAAATGTAATTACTATATGTAGCTCTCTGCACCAGTAAGCTAAAAGTTCAGTACAAAATTTAAACTTTTTCTTTGTGTACAAAACCTGTTTTATGAATATAATTATTTTCTTTTTTCTAAATTATTTTTCTTCTTAGTTTTTGGAACTTGAGATGGACAAATTTGCCCCATCTAGTGGTCATTTTTAAGATGTGGGTTCTTTCTTTCATGAAGTCCCTGAGTACTGAGCCTGATTCAGAGACTGACTGTCAGATTGGCAGTGGGGATTTGCACCTTGCTCCTCAGGATTGGCCTGGGTAGGAAAAAAACAAAGAAAGTCATAACAATATATCTACATTTGAGGATAAATATATTTTTGAAAAGGATCTTATTATATTGTCCAGGCTGACGTTTTAACTCTCAGATTCAAGTGACCTTCCTGCCTTACTCTCCCAAGTACCTGGAACTAATATACTCGGTCCTTTCTCTGTAGTGCCATAAATTTCTCCAAGATAGCTTTTATAGTAAATTGTTTAAATGTAATAACTTTGACTTGAACCACCTGGATCTTTTTTAAAAATATTTATTTTTTAGTTGTAGGTGTACACAGTACCTTTATTTTTTATTTTTATGTGGTGCTGAGGATTGAATCCAGTGCCTCACATACGCTAAGCAAGTACTCTACCACTAAGCCACACCCCAGCCCCCCGTCTGGGTCTTGTAATTTTTTTATCATTAAAATTTTAATGTGTAACCCTGAAGGTTATCTAGGTGCTTTTGAATGGAGACTCAGAAGAAAACTGTTTTAATGTGTGGAAAAATCAAGTATTGAAAAGTTCTGGAGGCTGAGCCATGTCCCACTGTAATTTTTACCCACTGAAATTTTGGATCTCTAAGGTCTAGGAGCATCCTTGGTCATGTCTGCATTCCTAGTAACCAGTGCAGTGCCTAGCACATGCTGAGTGCCCAAAGGAATACTTTTTGAAAGGATGCATGAATTGAAGTTTTACCTACTGTGGCCTTGTGGACCCAAGAGTCTATCTTCCAAGTGTTATAAATATTTTTCTATGTGTTTGAAGGCAGTTAGGGACTGGGTTCCAGAGTGAGGTGTGGGTACTGATTCCCTAATATGAAACTTTGTAGCTGTATACTTTTAGAAAAGTGCTTCACTACTTTGAGCCTTCAGTTCCTTATCTATAAAGTAAAGTAACTGCCAACTCTGTAGGGCTGTGAAGATGAAATGAGATATTTTAGGCATAGTGTTTAGCATAATGTTTGTGGGCACACAGTATAAGATGCTTTCTGTTCCTTTATCTGATTTGCAGATGGGGAAGATACTTCATGTATATAATTTCAAAATAAGCATTCAAAAAGATGTTGACAGGCTACAGTGATAGTTTTAGACTAATAAGATAGTTTAAAATATCAAAGAACAAGTACTGGCCTAATAGCAGTTCATTTGAAAGATCCAGGGTTTCACTTCCCTGTGATGTGGTTGCCAAAACCTCAGGTACTATTAGGCAGCTTTAATAAATGTGAAGTGTACAGAGCAAATGAAGTAATAGTCTCACAGTAATAACGTGAGCTGTTGTTTACTCAGCACTTGCTACATGGCAGCCGTGTAAGTACCTTACATGCATCATCACATTTGATTCATCAGCACACCTCTGATGGTAATTCTTTTTTTAATTTTTGAGACAGAGTTTTGCTGTATTGTCCAGGCTGGCCTCAAATTCCTGGGCTCAAGTGACCCTCCTGTTTCATGTTTCCAAGTAGCTGGGACTATGTGTGTGTATCACCATACCTGGCTATTCTTTTCTTTTTAAATAAATGAGGAACCTGAAATGCAAAAAGAGAGTGAGGCACTAGACTTCATTCATAGGTTTGTTTGCAAACCACAGAAACTGGCTTGAATTAGCTGAAGCAATAAAATAATTTATTGAAAGGTTCTTAAGTAGTTCACCAGTTCCACAGAAAGGCAGGTGGGCAGGCTTTGAACACTAGCAGCAACCAGGCTGGGAAAATTCATTAACCTGGACTACAGCTCAAACCAGACCTGAGAAAGGACACCACACATTGGTACTGGGTGACAGTAGTACCATTTCTTCTGCTGCCACTCTACACTAGATATTGCTGCCACCAGCAAAGTAAATTCTGCACTGTCTCAGGTTCTGTGTGTCAATAGTTTCTGAGTCAAAGTTCCAGGAGAGGCATCTGTTTAGCCAAGCTCAGCCCTTGTCTTCCCTGTGCCCTGGTTTCCAAGGAGCAGAAGGGTAGCTTTCTGGCCTGTGGCATCTGTAGTGGGAGATAGCTCCACCTCTCATCAAGATACCTAACATGGTAGATTCCCTAGACACCTGAGAGACAGAGTTCAGGTGCTGGGCAGCACAATCGCCCAGAAAATGTCCATTTTCCTCCCATACTTTATTATTAGACTGAAGAAACAGCCCTTCTAGTCTTGCTCACTGTTTATCCCAGTTCCTAGAGGAGCACTTGGAAGGTGTATAACAAATTCAGATTGAATGAGGGGATAAACTGTACACTGTTCAGACTACATCTGCAATGCTTTATTCAGCTGTGTATATCTTACTCCAAGAGACTTGAAAGGAGTTAGTGTGTGTCTCAGGAAGGATATTGCATGTGGACACCTGGCCCCATCCTTGGGCTGGATCTGGTCTACTTGGGGAGGCATTCTTAGCATTCTCCTGAGCCACCTTCCTGTGCTGAAGGGTGATCATGGCAAAGAGGGAGCAGATTGATCATTTGTAGAATTAGGGATAGTGGATGGGGAAGCTCATGTTGGTATAAGAAGGAACTTCCTAAGGATTGAAGCTGCCCATAGATATACTGACTGACTCATGAGAGTGTCAGTGGCCCCTTGGCTAGGGTATTGCAGCAGAGTTGGACAGTCATCTTTGAGAAAGGCTTGGAGGGAGTTCTGTTGTTGGCATGGATGGGAGCTGGGGCTTCAGGAGTCAGGGTCAGGCAAGGGCTATGTGGTCTGTTATTCTTTTTCCCTTGAAGAGCGAATGCTGTAGTAACTGACTTGCCATGTGAGTTGAAACCATGTAGCTCGCTATGAGATCTGTGTCCTGACCAGGCCTGGCATCTCACTTGGAGTGCAGGTTTGGGCTATGTGCTGGTTTATGTTTTTAAACACTTACGCAGCTGGGTAATCTCAAATGAGTAGCCTGTTATTGAAAATAACATTTTGGAGTCATACCTACTTAAGGTTGAAATCCATTATGACCTATGCAACATAGTTGTAAACCATTGCTTTATCTATAACTTGGGGATAATACCTTGCAGGATTGTTGGGGGATTAGCAATAATGAAGTTAAAGTGTCTGGCATGTAGTAATTGTTCAGTGAATAGAATCTATTATTCTCCTTTGTGTCAGTCAGCTCTTTCTCCCTTCATCTGTATTACTTTAATTATCAGTTTTATTTTTTCCCCTTGCTAATAGGTCTTTATTAGGTGAAGAAATATTTAAAGGTGTAGCAACCAAATTTCAAAACTTGGTCCCCTGCACCTGGCAGGTAGATGACCCAAAGCCTGGTCCTCTTTACTGGTTGTAAAGGGCATGTCACTTCCCCTTTGGGCCTCACTTTCTTCAACTCTAAAATGTGAACATTAATAGCACCTAAGTTTTTTTTTTTTATTGGTTATTCAAAACATTACAAAGATTGCAGAATCACATCGGTTACACTTCCACATTTTTACATAATGCCATAATAGTAACTGTTGTATTCTGTTACCTTTCCTATCCTCTACTATCCCCCCTSCCCTCCCCTCCCATGTTCTCTCTCTACCCCATCTACTGTAATTCATTTCTCTCCTTATTTTTTCCCATTCCCCTCACAACCTCTTATATGTAATTTTGTATAACAATGAGGGTCTCCTTCCATTTCCATGCAATTTCYCTTTTCTCTCCCTTTCCCTCCCACCTCWYGWCYCTGTTTAATGTTAATCTTYTYCTCMTGCTCTTCCTCCCTRCTCTGTTCTTAGTTRYTCTCMTTATATCAAAGAAGACATTTGGCATTTGTTTTTTAGGGATTGGCTAGCTTCACTTAGCATAATCTGCTCTAATACCATCCATTTCCCTGCAAATTCCATGATTTTGTCATTTCTTAGAATAGCACCTAAGTTTACTGTGAAGATTGATAGAGAAAGATTTGATTCTTAGCTCAGTTTCTGGCACACATTCAGCTTTGCATAAATGTTATTTTCCTTTTTTTTCTTCTTTTCAAAAAATGGTAAAATAGGGGGTTGTTTACTAACTTTGTGAACACTAACATCTCTGGCTCCCACTTTCCTTTTTGTGACATAAGAGGTACATTAAACGACCTTGAATATTCTCTTTTGAAATTCTTCCCTCATTGCTAGATTAGGTGTGGTGCCTGGGCAGAGGTGATCTGAGTTTCCTTTTTATTGCAGGTTGTTGGAGGAAGAGTCTTCCAAGAGGGCAGAAMTGGAAAAGTGGCACTTGGTACAGCAGCAGGCCATTCAGACAACAGAGGCAGAGAAGCAGGAGTTGGAGCACCAGCGTGTCATGAAGGAGCAGGCCCTGCAGGAGGCCATGGCGCAGCTGGAGCAGCTTGAGCTTGAGCGGAAGCAGGCTTTGGAGCAGTATGAGGTGACTGGGCTGGTCACCATACACTCTTAAATTTGATTCCTTAAAAACATTGTTCAGGGGGCTGGGGTTGTAACTCAAGTGGTAGAGCGCTTGCCTAGCATGTGTGAGGCACTGGATTCGATCCTCAGCACCACATATAAATAAATTGATTAATTAAATAAAGGTATTGTGTCCATCTAGAACTAAAATTTTTTTTAAAAACACATACTTTTCTTGGGGTTGGGGCGGTAGTGCTGGGGATTGAATCCAGGGCCTTGTGCGTGTGAGGCAAGCACTCTACCAACTGAACTATATCCCCAGGCCCTCCCACCTCCAAAACACACATTGTTCAGAAAAACATTGTTTAGTAATATTTATCTATTTAGCTGTAGCAAGAATCTTAGCTGTAGAAAGGAAAGAGGGAAGTTTTTATAAGAGATAAGGTGTATCCTTCAGAGTCTACTCAGGAGACAGAAACTACATAGTAATGTGAGCAGCAAAAGTTTAATATATATACTTATAAACTATAACAGGGGATTACCTACCAAGAGTGGCAGATGCAAGAAACAGCTACTGCCTCTAGGCTGAGGCAAAGCACTGCAGGAGTCCCTTGCTCCCGGCCCCTGACTCAGCACTGTGATCCAGGCCTTCTTGGGGGACACCACAGTGGCAGAGAAGTGGCTGAGTTGCTGGGCCAGCAGAACTCCCAGGGAAATTGTTCCCAGGCACTGGTCACTCCAGGGAGGTGCCACTAAAACCCACTGGGATGACAGCACGAGTGTCCTGAGTGCTGGCTTCCTTCCTTCAGCACCTGTTACTATCAAAACTGAAATGGAGCCAGCTAATGAGGGAGAATTATTCTAGTTAACAAGGCAGTGAAGGGTTATTTGGAGCTGAGAGTGGTGGAAGTGGTGGAAGGGTAGGCGTTAGTACCAGGTGGCCTGGGTTTTAGTCCTGGCTCTGCCACTTCCTCCTGTATGACTTAGGCAGGTTGCTTAACCTCTGGTTTCTACTGCTGTACCCTGGGATAACAACAATTCCTGCTTCTTAAGAGTGGTTATTAGAGTTTAATGAGATAACCCATGAGCACATAGTAAGTAACTAGTTGTTGTTATTTGATTCTCGAACTACTTACTATGTGTCTGCAAAGTCCAAACTCCATTCTTGTTTCAGGGGGTTAAAAAGAAGCTAGAGATGGCAACTAATAAGACCAAGAGCTGGAAGGACAAAGTGGCCCATCATGAAGGATTAATTCGATTGATAGAACCAGGTAATAGGTTTTTTGAAGTAATCATACATTAATTTTAATTTTGTTTTATTTGTGTATTTGAATTGTGCTTAAAAATCATTTTTGGCCCAAATGTATAAGCCCTAAGCTGTTTAGAGTACATTTCTCTTGGGCCCAGATAGTCTCCTTTATGCACAGCTTCTCATCTTTGGCTGGTATGACTTTTTTAGATGTTCCTCAAAGAAGAAATAAGGTGAAAAGTTAACTATTTTGTCCATGGAGAAATGATAATGTAAACTGAAGAATGTAATACTACCTGTGTTTAAAGAATGTTTTTATTTTAGGTTCAAAGAACCCTCACCTGATCACTAATTGGGGACCTGCTGCTTTTACCCAGGCAGAACTGGAGGAAAGAGAAAAGAACTGGAAAGAAAAAAAGACCACGGAGTGACTACTCCTGACAGAAGTCCCCTCAGTTATGCAGATGCCAAGTGTGGCCGGAGAGCTTTATGCTAAAGACAAAAGAAACTGGCTTCGCTGCTTCTAACTCTTTTCTTGGTGACTCTAATGGGGTCAATGTGCTAAGGAGCCTTCCTGCAAATGCAAGCTTCTCTGAAAAGGACAAAAAAAGTCAATGTTGTCAAGCTCTTTATTTACTCTCTTTGAAAACTTCAGCTTCTGAAAATTGCATTAGGCTCAGATTCTCTTCTGAGAGAGGCAGAGCATGGTCAGCTCTGTATCTGCAGGGTTGAGAGCATGGGGTCTGAGTGCTCAATATCTCTGGGGAGTCAGAACCTCTTTGGACTGGGTGCCAGCTCTTCCTTTGGCAGCATGTTTCCTTCTTTGTGTGTTTTAAGTGAGATTGGCCTGTCTTCTTGCATCCGTGCCAGTTGAACTGGCAGGCCTTTGACCATAGGTGCTCTGATGGATAGGTCATGGAGTCTCTGCCATTTCTCAATCATCCTTCTGGATAGATCTGGCAATTGAGGTTTCTTAGCTTATACTAAGATAGTTCTTTCCCTAAGCATCATACATTTGGCATGTATCATTCCCATTTCCTTCCCCTCACCTCAAAGAAAAACATCCTCTTGGCTCATACTCAACCTAATTCTATCTCGGGTGTTCTCTCCCCTTCTCTCTAGCAAATGATGTGCTACTAGGGTACATCATGCAGTATGAGGATTATGTTGAGTGTAGAAAAAAGCTAATTTGAAATAAAAATTATTTGGTTGATTTATAAAGCAGATTATATGCACATGGGCAGTGGGAAGTTGCCCATGTGTGTAGTTAGATTTAAAATGTTATAAAGGGAGGAAAATGTCATGAGGATGATAACATGTCATTGTATTAGCCCAACCATAGCTCTCATTAGGAGGGCAGCTTTTCTGCCTTTTCCCTTCCTGTGTGTATCAGGGAAGAAATATCCAGTATAAATAAGTGTAGCAAGGAAATTGGGATCAGAGTCTAATTTGAAAAGAAAATTAAGGAAGTTTCTCATGTATTATTTGTTTTTGAGTAAGAATATTTATGAAGTCAAGCCTTCCAACACTAGTTATTAATTTATAAACATCAGTAACTCCATGGAAATCCATGATGCTTAAAATTGAAAAGCATAAATATGGTGGTAGCAGGGCGTGGTAGTATGTGCCTGTAACCCCAGGGACTCAAGAAGCTGAGGCAAGAAGATCACAAGTTTGAGGCTAGTCTATCTCCAAATAAAAAAAAATAAAAAGGGCTGGCAATGCAGCTTAGTGGTAGAGTGCCCCTGATTTCAGTCCCCAGTACTGAAAAAAGAAGGAAAAGGTGGGGGGGGACAAACAGGGGTAATTCAGTTGTCACACAAAGGCAGAATTCAGCCTCATGGTTCCGGTCCTCGCCAACAAGCATTACATGAAGTTCTTTAAGTGCTTGCATAACAGCAGTGAGGAAGCGATTCTAAAAAGATGTGTACATCTAGAGTGGATGGTCTTAAGAGATTTCAGTGCATATATTTATTTACATGAGTGGAAACTGGAATATAATTCCACATATCTTTTATGACTGGAAAATATTTGCCAATGAAATGGTCTTTAGAAATTTGTCTTAAGGACTGTTTGATAAAAATATAACTTTATTTAATGATCTCTTATAGTTGTCTTTATAAAATTTAGATTTTTATCTAAAATATCTTTTATATTATGCCTTCCAAATTTAACAGCTATTCTGGGTGTTGTTTTCTGCTGAGCCACTTATAAGTATTGTTATTTTATTCTGTCACTGGCAGATATATTAGACCAACAGGAATGGAACCTTTCTTGTGGTTTGATTTATCACACTAGGGAACCCCAATCTCCCTCATAACAGATGAGGAAAAGATATTTTACAAAGAAGCCAATGAGCCATGTGACATCTCTGGGGTAGAAACAGTGTGGACTTAGATAGCCTGTGCATGGGGTGGGTGGAATGTGTGAATTTCTGCTTTTGAGAAGTGCTGAGATAGGCCATATATATCCTTGCAGAACGTCCCTTCTTAAAATCCAGCTTGTTGCATAGTTGCAACTGAAAACATGACCTGGGGTTAGCTCCTCCATTCCTGTCTCCAGTGGACCTCACTTTGTGGCCTGGGCCATGAGCCTAGAGATTGCTTGTTTTCTGGGCACATGTGGGCCTTGACTTGACTAAGCAGTCACTCCTAGGGTGGTGCAAAAAGTTTGTATTTATTGCATAGTGTCGACATCCTGGCTTCCATGGCACTACATCCAGGAGGGAAGAGTCCCTTTAAACAATGGTAAAACGGCAGCACAGAAATGAACTCTGTCAGTCCTATTTGGGATGATATTTTTATATTAATCAAATTCCTCCAAATATTTAAAATGGTTTCAGCTATCAAAATACCTATAGACCCCTTGGTTTTACTTTTGTAATTACTGTACAGAAAACTTCAGGAGTGTTTGAATGCTTGTCATAATCAGGCCTTTTCCTTAATACATAGACATGATCATTTCCAGGAATTAAACCTGAAAAAAGTTTTTAAAAGATGTTTTGTTATTTGCAATATGGACAGGGAACAAAATATAATTTTCAAACATCATTATCTAAACATTGTATAATGTAATATGCTCAACTTTCTTAATTTTTTTGCTAATTTTTCTAAGATATATTAAAAGTTTTTTGTATTTTTTTGTTTGTTGTTTGTTTTTGTAGTCAAATGGACTCAGTAAGAAAATCAAATGTGCCAGAACATCATACATTTTAAACTGTCTAGTTTAATAAAACAATGGGGTACAGTTGTGTGTCTGTATGTGTATTTTCATATAATGAAATGGACTTTGGTTTTGGGACACTTCCTGAAAACATTGAGTTTAGGGTTAAGACCCCAAGAAGTTAGCTATGGCCTCTTGTTTGGTGTTTTGAGTCACGAATGTGGGGAAACCATGGGTGATGTGTCAGCTGACAAGCGGGAACTTAGAGAGATGATCTCTCCCTCATTGTTGCTCTTACCTCCAAATCCCCTTACCTTTGTTTTCTCAGACTTTCTTTCCATGTCTTTCAGTGTTTCCTTCACCAGAATAAACAATGTGGTTTTTTTGTTTTGTTTTACGTGGTTGCCTACATTAAAACGCCTGCAATGGGTGAAGCAAGCCCACTCAGTTCAGCTTGATTATGTATTTGGAAGCTGATCTTTCCCTTTTAGAGCAAGGGAGAGAAGTAGAGGTTGGTGTTTCTATAAACACTTTCTTAAACAGTGGTTCTCAACCAGGAGCAGGTTTGCCCTCTGGGGGACATTGGCAATGTCTGGAGGTTTTTTTTTTTTTTTTTTTTTTTTTGTTTTCACAGGTGGTAGGAGTGTTGCTGGCAACTAGTAGGAGAGGCCAGGAATGCTGCAAAACCTCCTACAATGTGCACACCAGCTCCCTGTAACTGAATTATCTGGCCTAAAATGTCAGTAATGATGAGATTAAGAAATCCTGCTCTGCAGAAAGGCCGGTTCTGTTGTCTAGAACACAGCAGGCTTTGGGAGTCAGGGTTTCCCTTTGAAGAGTCCTAGGCGTTGACAGTGATCACTTTGGTGTAAGTGGAGCACACCTGGAAGAGTTTATTCAACTTTCTATAGAAATCTCTATGGATATTGTGTTATCCAGAATACAGTAGTCTCTTAGAGTCAGGGTTTCCCCCACTGGGTCTGCTGTGGTCTGAATGTCTCCCCCAAGGTGCTTCTAATGGAAACTTTATCCCCAGCTTTAGTAGATATTATTGGCAGGTGGTACTTAACACTATGTGATCAGGCCACAAGGACTCTGCCCGAGTGAGTGGATTAGTGTTAGCATGAGAGAGGGTCCCATATCATGAGAGTGAATTTGTAATAAAAGCATTCTGGGCCCCCTCTCATCTCCTGTCCTGCCTCTGACCCTGGGGTGATGCAGCGGGAAGCCCCTCACCAGATGTGCCACTCTCCAGCTTTCAGAACTGTGAGGGACAGCTTACTCTTCTTCATAAATAACTTAGTCCTTGGTCTTCTGTTTTAGCAGAGAAAGGACTAAGTCCTGGGAGTCGATGACCCTTCAGTGTAAATGGGCCCCCCCTGGAAGGGAGACTTTGTTCTGAGAGCTGGCAGAGAACCTGGAGTGGGGCACTGGGCAGAAACGGAGGCCTTTCAACAGATCAGAAAGGAATCCCTCTGTAGGTTTTATGTGACAGTTTTATTATTTTCCCCAAATTTCTTCTTGGGGCATTATAATTATACATAATAGTGGGATTTATTGTCACACATTTGTACATGCACATGATAAACAAGAGCTTTGTGTATGTTTTAAAGTCTTTGTGATATGGGATGCTTAGGTGTGAAGGGTAGGAGCTGCCTTGGCCCTGAGTTCTCCCCCTTTGAGTGTGAGGCACAGGGCGGGTCTGAGGGCTCTGCCTGCTGCTGGTGGAGTGAATGTGAATATTTGCTGCCCGGGCAGTGAGGTGTCCTACACTGCACAGGTGCTTGTCCTAACTGGCAAAGCCCTAACTTTACCTGCAAAGTAATGTCAACAGGTACAACTGCCCCAATGGGCCGAGGGTCAGTTGAACAATGCTCGGCCTCGGGAAAGAGGTGCTGGCTCCACAGCTCCCGCCAGTGTGGGGTCAGTGTGCAACAATTTGTTGGAAGAACCAGTCTTGAGAATATTGAGGTGTTCTTAAGGAATACCTGTTTTCTCTCTCACACCCACTACTCCTTTATGTTCAATTCAAGACTGTAAAAGTCACCTTTCAACTTTCAGAGGCTATTCAGCAACATCTACTAAAGCTTAAGACAACTACCTGCGGCCCAACAGTTCCACCCGAGAGAAATGAGACCTGTGACCACCAAAGACTCATATAAGAGAATTCATAGCAGCTTTGTTTAAAATAGCCCCAAACCATAACCAATCCAAATTTCCATTAGCAGAGGCAAATGACCTATGGATACTACACTTCAGTTAAAAGAACCTGTTATTAAGAGATGCAGCAACATGGAGGAATCCCACAGACATCCTCTGGAGCAAAAGCCACACATGATAGCACACACTATATGATTCCACTTATATTCCTTTCCAGAAGTTGAGACATGAATCTGTGGATTTTGTAGTGAGAAGTTACCTAGGGTGGGTGGTGGTGGTGGGAAACGGCATAGGGGAACTTTCTGGCATGCTGGAAATGGTGGTGGTTACATATGTAGATGTCTGTTGGCTGACAGGAAGTGCTATAAAAGCATTCCATTATAAGACTAAATCGAAATTTATTAATAAATTTTTTAAAAGCCTATTGTCTGGCTGCAGTGGTGCATGCCTGTAATCCCAGTGATATAGGAGACTGAAACAGGAGGATCACAAGTTCAAGGTCAGCCTCAGCAAATTAGCAAGACCCTGTCTCAAAATAAAAATTCAAAAAGGGCTGGGGATATAATTCAATGGTAGAACGTCCCTGGTTTCCCCTGCCCCCCTCCCAGTACTGGGAGGGGAGGGACCTTAAAAAAGTCTTAACTTTAGACCCAAGATTTGTGAGTGTATTGGCTGAACCCTCTAGAATGCTAAAACTGGCTGGTCCCTAGAGATCAGCTGGTCTAGAAATTCCTGACCCTCTTCTAAGATGCTGCTCCTTACACCACCTGCCTTCTCTCAGGTCCCCCCCCCCCCCGCCCTTACACTAGGATGTTCAATCATTTTATTGCTCAGTGAATTGTCATGTCCATGCATCACTCCTACAGG